TGACAATTCCACTGTTAAAGCATGAACACTGATGAACACTGATATTCACTACAATTGACTGAATCAAACTGAATGGTTATAAACACAGAACATTCCTGAGAACGAAGTTGGAAGGCGTTACGGGAGATTGACCTCCCGTCTCGCACTGGTTTATATTGTAGTGGATTCCCCCCCTACAAACGCCGTTTGTCGCTGACTAGCCGACCCTCGAATTCCTCAGTGTATGCCTCGTGGTCTAGGTCGGCAACCAGCGCCGCCTAACAATGACTGAGGTCAACTATTAAGCCACGCCTACCCCTGCTATACAAGACCTCACCTCGTGGTGACAAAACACCAATAAGAAAGATGAAGCGATCTGGTTGAGCCCAGATTCTTTCTACTCCTACTGTATTTCAGTTCCACCACTTTTCCTTCAATCCCTAATAATCTTCTTTCACCTCTTAACTAAAGACTTCGTATCGACCTGTCTCTTACTACCTACAGCCACCAGCAAGCAACACCTCCTCCTCCACTCCTGCCTGGCGGCTCCCGCTGGAGCCGGCGACCATGGCGACCCACAAGCTGGTCGTCCTCTGAGCATCCTCACCAACCAGCTCTCTCTACTCAACGCTTGTAACCATGCTGCCTTCCCAGCACCAAGCTGCATTGTACATCCAATACAACACGTATACAGAGAGCACATTGTGAGTTTCCTTTCTCCATCCCATCCTGAGTGTGAACCAATATCTCATAACCCCACAATATACCCCTGAGTGGCCAGCGATCGCTACTCACGCAATGACAGAATTTACAAACAAACCAACTGTTACTCATTCAAGGATGAACCTCAGTTGACAAAGGTCTGGCGAATTACTAAAGTTGATTTACACAGACTAATTCAAGATTGAGTTTGCCAGTAGAGAGTGGAATAAACGTATTGACAACTGTGTTCGAAGGTGGGACTTACTGGGAGGGATCCTGAGTGTAAAACGAATGGGAAAAACACGTCTCTCCTTAATGCTATGAATACATACAATTAATATTATATAACCCTACCTGAGTACAATACAACACATGATTCAGTAACATTGAGTAGGTGAGTTATCCTTTATCTCTGTTTCCCGTTCTCTGAGATTCTACAAGCGTGGTGGATTTGAATGTTATGTAGCGTAATATGAATTAAAGGGGGTTTTTAGGAATGACAATGATGTGCGCAGTACATGAGACCTGCAATTGTGTGTAAATGAGGCAGGAAGTCAGATCAGCAACCTGGGACTTGGTCACAATTTCTGTGATACCATGTGGCAGTAGGATCTACCATAGACAACACATTATGCTTCCAATATCTTCCCAGGTATACCAGTTAAAATGTTATTTTAGGAATATGATGCTGAATTATGTCTAACAACCTCAAATATTATTAAATTGGTCTTGACAATCGTTTCAGAATCATTAATAGAACAATCAGCTGTTACTGCACAAATCCTTGATATAATTCCAACAAATATTGTTTTATCTAAAGCCCTCAGCCATGACACATTCTTATCTTATCCTCCTCGAGCTTTACAGTAAGGAAAGTGGAAGGCAGTAGAGAGAAGTGTTGTCTATATTGTCTACAATGGCCAGAATCTAGACATGTATGAATAACTGTACCCAGGAATGCACTCTAGCGAAGTGACAAGTTTGCCAACTCAAATTATGTGAAAATTAATTTTCCAATCTTTTAACTTTGAACATTAGACTTCCCAAACACATCAGTTATAGGGTTTATTATGGGCAATATACTGTATACTGTATATCAAGTATGAGGAGTGCAGCTGTCTGTTCACATTTTATATGCTGCCTCTGATGCCCCAAATACCCTTCTGAATAGAAAGCTGATCTTGCTCATGTTTTAACTTGTAATCTACTTTTATCCTCTTCGCCACTGATCGGCTTGTAGGAGTATCGAGATATTAATGTTGTCTAGCACTCAGGATGGAAGGAAACTCTAATGTGGTTTTCTTGTATAATATATAAGTTATATGATAGACAGTCTGGTGCTGGAGATGCTGTGTGGTGAGGGGCTGCTTGGTAGAGACGTGCTGTGAGTAGCTTGTTGAAGGAGGTAGATGTGGAGGAGCTTCGTTAGAGAAGATGTTGCCTGTTGCTGGCCTCCTGGTTGAATGAAATGTTAACAGCGTGGAGCTTGCTGGAGGAGATGTTGCTTGTTCAGGAAAATGGGCAGAATGAGAGTTGGTTGGTGAGGAAGCTCAGAGAAGGACATGCTCGCTGGCGGGAGCGAGGACCGCCAGGCAGGCGGAGGAGAGGCGAGGGTCGCCAGGCAGCGGCAGAGGAGGAGGTGTTGCTTGTTCAAGAAGATTGGTCAGACTGAATCTCAAGGGAGAGACAGAGCTTATATACACCCAGCAGCAGCCGCCAGTCCTCTATGAGTCATGTTGGGAAAACCCGAGAAGTAGCCGGTGACTAGTTCCGTTGCTAAGATACGGTAACATCTGGGGACAGCTCTCGCTTGGTTGCTAGGGGAGGCGGCACATTGGAATGCGATACGCAGTTGTAGGGGAGACATCCACTACAGGCTCGTCAGCAGCTTGGGCGGTCGGTCATGTCTCTGATACGCACTGATTGACAAGTACTGGGCATGCACTGGCTCCACATATATCTGAACCTGCTCCAGTGCTGGTCAAGTCTGGTCTTGAAAGAGCTCACACTCGGTGCCGTTGTAGCGGACCAGAAGTTACCCCGGACCAGAAGTAGCCGAAATGATAACTGTGCATGCGCGGTTGATGGCATCGCAGCATACCAGGCAAGGACTATTATAGTTTTTTATACCAGGAGTTGCCGCCCACTACTGTACGTAACTCATGGTCCGGGTATAGGCGGACCAGAAGTTCACCAAACTGAAACTTACAATTCTGCCCCCATGGGCGTCCGCAGAAGGGGGGGGGGGGCACGGGGGGGTATTACCCCTCCATAGATTCACTAAATTTTCATCATTTGCATCGTGTTTGTATATATATATATATATATATATATATATATATATATATATATATATATATATATATATATATATATATATATATATATATATAAGAACAGTCCAACCTTCAACCTTCAGTGTAAATGGAATTTCTTACCGCATTCCATGTAGGAATTGTAATGGAAAGCATTGCAACCTAGAATAAAACCAAAGACTATATTAAGAAAGATAGGAAAGCAAGGCGAAAACCGCGTAAGCCACATAGCGAATAGTTGGCCGCGGGATCAACAGATGGCGATAGTGTGACTAGCCATTTTTACTTATTTAATCCACTTCTGTTTGATATAACTTAATTACAACTTCAACATTAACCGATGGAATGTTATAAAATCTCCTGTCCCACTGGGTATGTATCCCCTGTATATGCCGAGCATAATGGAGCAAAATTTGGGAGCAGCAGCACAGAGTGTACGGGCATGATTTGAGTCGACAATAATGGCGGTAACTTCAGGGATATGACGTCATGTCACCTTAAATTTATTAAATCTCTTTGGTTCGATCCAAATAATCAACGTTTTGACCATAATCTTGATTTTTTTTCTTCAAAATGTAAATATAGGTGAATCTAAACACAAGGATTAAAGATTTGGGGGTTCAAAAGTTGGAATTTCAGTAATAACTTGTCAAAACGAACCATAGAAAACTTTAATTCTCTTTGCAACCTTAATTACTCGCCCCTTCTTATTACAACTCATCCAAGTATCAACAAATCATAAAGTATCATTTTGGGTTCTTTCTTACAGCCCACTGAAGCACTGCGTTAATAAAACGAAAAAGTATATTTAAATATATAATTTGAACTCTCTACAGCCCATGGTCAACAAATATCACACACACACTGTACATTACACTTATTATCCAACATCACAGACATTATTATCAGATACTTAGCTAAGAGTAGAAAAGTGTGTGTGTGTGTGTGTGTGTGTGTGTGTGTGTGTGTGTGACAAGAGGCATTACAATATATGGAAAACATTATATAATTAAATTTGTATGATGGTAAAAAATAAAAATGATACTTGGTTAACAATATATGATACAAAACTGGATAAGTAATAATGTTATAACGAATCATTTTATGAACAAATTTCCCTAGACACTTCACAACGCCAGGAACCTTCTTGATGGGTAATGCAAGTGAGGCAGGATTGGGATTTTAACCTCCATTGACTAAGCCTTTCGTTAAATCTCAGTGTGTCTTAGGGTTTTGTATTTCTGACACAATTTACGTAAAAAAACAGCAGAGTTCATCACTTACTGAAAATCACACATATTTGACCCTCAATTATATACAGAAGTGTCGAAGGAATTTTGGTCGAAAGTGTACATGTTAAGTAATATAATAATTAGAACACAGTACGAGTGTTGTGTGGTAAACAATATAGAGTAAAGAATGATAACTATAGGATTATGTATGAAAACAGTATAACGACGCTTGTTGGTACTTTATCTGCATTTGGATTCAGATTGAGATGAGTCGCTAACCCTCTTAAGCTCTCAAAGACATTCCAACACCCTCAAACACCTTCCAACACCCTCAAACACCTTCTAACACCTTCAAACACCTTCTAACACCCTCAAACACCTTCCAACACCCTCAAACACCTTATAACACCATCAAACACCTTCCAACACCCTCAAACACCTTCCAACACCCTCAAACACCTTCCAACACCCTCAAACACCTTCCAACACCATCAAACACCTTCCAACACCCTCAAACACCTTCCAACACCCTCAAACACCTTCCAACACCCTCAAACACCTTCCAACACCATCAAACACCTTCTAAAACCCTCAAACACCTTCCAACACCATCAAACACCTTCTAACACCCTCAAACACCTTCCAACACCCTCAAACACCTTCCAACACCTCAAACACCTTCCAACACTCTCAAACACCTTCCAACACCTTCCAACACCCTCAAACACCTTCCAACACCATCAAACACCTTCTAACACCCTCAAACACCTTCCAACACCCTCAAACACCTTCCAACACCCTCAAACACCTTCCAACACCCTCAAACACCTTCCAACACCCTCAAACACCTTCCAACACTATCAAACACCTTCTAACACCCTCAAACTCCTTCCAACACCCTCAAACACCTTCCAACACTCTCAAACACTCTACCTTACCTCATGACCTGTCTCTCCTTCAGTTGTTACAGTAACTTCATAACTAACTTGCTCAGTGACGGTGAAAGTCACCCATTCACTAATAAACGGGTCTTCACTTTTCTGTACAAATTCGTCATGACCTATAAGAGTTATTGAACATGACTTCTTCTTAGACGGAACTGAACTAAAGCGAAAGTCAGATCAGTTATGTCTGAACATACGTGGGTCTGCTACTGAGAGCGTCACTCGTGAACTAAAGAAAAACAACTAACTTCTCTGACACAAAGTAGTATACTGTAGATAACTCAAGCTTGATCCTCAGACCCAAAGAAACATTGTCCAAGGTGTACACGTCCCTCAAGATGGCAGATTTGAGTTATAGCTTTCATAAGTTTTACATGGTCATGACTAATCTAATATACATGCTTAAAGACTTTATAGTTGTTGAGGCGTAGTAAACACATTATAACATCAACAACAATTGGATTTTGAAGAAACTACAGAGTAGTGTGTCTCTATAAACCACGACCACATTTATTCGTCTTGTAGGATCTGATACTATATAAACTAAGAAGGTTGATGGATCACATGGATGCTTAAGATTATAGATACCGTAAATTACTAGTTGTATACGGAACAGAATCACATCCAACAAACGTCGCTTCACTGTCCGTGTGATGTCAGCGTGATTTTAAGCTACAAATATGACCGACATATGATAAAACATTAAGTAAAGAATAGATGTTAATGAGCACATGGTAAAACATTTACATAGAATACACGATGACAAACAACACATAAGAAAAATAATGAATCCTAACAATAATGTATAATACACAAAAAATAAATGATAAATGCCATGACAATTATAGCCACCACATGAGAAACTTGTCCTTGTGAATTAATGAAGAGAACACCTGGTGATCTGTGTGCAGGTGTAATTTACCAGCGTGTTATACCGTATCATTGTGTTTCGAAATAATAACATACAACTTGCATATTTGAACTGATATATACAGTACACTGATGAACGTGAATGTAAATGATTATTACAAGCGAGATGAAACAACGTGAGACATCTGGTTTAGTCGAGGATTTACTTGAGCGGATTTTGGTGTGATTGGACAGTCCTGTTGTTATGATTTCTTTTTCACAATCTCTAAGGTCAATGGATTAGTGGATAATAATAATAATAATAATAATAATAATAATAATAATAATAATAATAATAATATCTTTACACTGTCGTCACGTTTTTTATTACATGCACGCACACAGAGACACAACAAGCAGCAATGAACGCTAAGGTCTACCATCATTTGTACGCTGCCCTGCAAAACTGGGGGAAGAGAAACTCAGTGACCCGTCATCCTTGTACTCGTGTCGTCAAACAGCGCCTCAGAAGGTAAGGATCAATCTTTCATCTGACTTACCCTCCATTAGCGTGTTCTCACTGGGTCGGAAGGGATCGTCAAACGTCTTGGATTGCTCTTACTGGCGCTGTTTTTATGGTACGGGCTCAACGTTGTTTACCCAGCCAATAGGTGTTGGTGTGTGTGGGGGAGGGGGGGAGGGTAAGTCTGTCCACGCTCCATTCCATTCTAGTTGATCAGGTTAATCAATGAGTCGTGTGTAAGGACTAATGTGACTATCCTTGGGCTGACGGAGCTAACACATCCTCCACGAGGTGACGTGGTATATAAATGTATAAATAAATAAATAAATAAATAAATTAACAAATAAACACTAACTAACCAACACCAACATGGCACTGCAGGCACTTGTACCCTGGGTGACAGAGAGGTGACGTCTGCCGTAGTGCCAACGTGTAAAGTTGTCGTCGTTCAGCTCCTGCAACAGACTCCCCTTAAAGAACACATTTCTTCTTCACTTCCAATCTAGAAAACTTCAGGAAAATGCCTTCAAACGAGAACAGAAACTTAACACATTCTTCTCCATTTCCACTGAGACTCTGGGCTGAACGTCCCTAATACAGTATATGTACACAAGTCTATAAAATGAGAAGATGAAAATGATCTCCAGTTGATGTGTGATAATTAAATGTTATTTTGTCTTATTAATGCCTGAAGTCTCTTACTCTAGTAAATACAGTTATAATGTTATTCCTCTCTCATTGTTGCTAGTCTGATGTCAGGCCTTTCAGAGTGTCATCTTGGAGTTCAGTCTAGTGTTTTCTTTTCTTCTGCGGGTTCTCATTTATAATGTGTTTCTTGTTAATACACAGCAAATACTAGAGCTTTATGTAATACACAAGAGTCTCCTGCGCATCCCGTGAAAACAACAATATTTAACGTCACGTCACAAATCAAAACTCACACCATCATTATCATGAATGTTCCGAGCTTCTCATTTTGTTAATTGCATCACCTGTCCTTCACCAACACAGTCGTTTCTTGTTCGTTTTTGTGTTTAATGAAATGAGTATTATCATTTTCTTTCTCCACTTTATGTCTACCTGAGTTTATGTAATTTTTTTATGATTTGCTAATTTGTAGTTCTTCAAAAGTTTGATCACTTAACAGATTTTCTTTTCATCAAGGGTCATGAATTACATAATAACTTCCACCCCAAAACTCCCAAGTCAGACATACACGTCGACTCATAACGTCAACTACTCGGGCCTGTATACCTGTGATCCAGTCAGATTATTACGACACTCAGGTTCTGTACATCTTGTCCTGTTTGCTGATGCATCAAGGCAGAGTGAGAGTCGTCGCTCGTCTGCCGCCCTGGTGTTGCTCGGCGGGTCGGGTGTCAGTAGGTCTTCTCCAGGTGTTTGTAGATCCAGTCGAGGTAATCAGAGACCCTGATGTAGACGCCGGGGTAAGAGGGCTCGGCGCATCCCACCCCCCACGAGGTGATGCCAGCCTGGATCCAAGGGCCTCCCCTCGCCCGACACTGTAGGGGCCCTCCACTGTCACCCTGTTGACGACACACTGGTCAGTTGTTACTCAGTACATTAGATATTACAAATGTGGTAATTAGTAGGTGTAAACAGCGAACTGAAGGGAACAATATTCCCGTCAGGGTCCACAGTGAAGGTGGATCCCATAATCCTGGTAAACAGTTTGGTACATCACATTGAATAACTAAGGATAGTTGACCATCACCTTAATTTTCCTATGATGATGATGATGATGATGATGATGATCACCACCATCATCATAAACATCATCATCATCAGTATCACCAACCAAGAGAGAGACTACTCACAACACAGGGCCCCATGCCACCGTCCTCCCAGCCGGCACAGATCATGCTATTACTGACGGGGCTGATCTTCCTGTAGGAGCGCTGGCACTTCTTGGTGGGCATAACGGGCACCCGGATGGTCTGCAGCATGTCCGAGTTACTCCCGTCTGTAGGACACGAGACGGCGGTAAGTATTATCGACCACACCCGTAAGAGATTAACTCAAAAACTGATTGTGCGCGTGTGTGTGTGTGTGTGTGCTGTGTTTATATGTGTGTGTGTACAGTCATTAAATCCCACACTCATAAGATTTAATCAACATGTGACGTAGAGAGAGATAATACCACACATTATATTATATTATGTATCAATATTACTATAAAACAGTATATTGGGTCACACAATAAATAACAAATATTTCTGTCCCCCATAAAAATCCCCTAAAAACTTAGACAACACAATTAAGATCAATCCATAAGTTAACTTTGTATTCGGCTGTAACATTAATCCTTTCTTCTACTTCGTTTAAAGGGTTCAATACCACGTAAGTATTTATGGGTTTAACCTGCTTTGAGATATAGTCAATGTGTTGGTTAACTATCCCTAAATTAACCCAAACAAGCCTTGATTTCCCTCTGTTGCTTCTGCCTGACAACACCTCCATAACACTCACGTTTCTTGGTCCTGCCCCACCCGGTGACAGAGCACTGGAGGCCGACGAAGGACATGTTCCTAGATGGTAAACAGATGGTGTTGACCAGACCAGCGTGTTCCTCCAGGTTCAGAGGCTTTCGGAGCTTCACTAGAGCGATGTCATTGTCCCAGGTCTTGGAGTCGAAGTGCTGCAAGCAAGAGTGTCATAAGAGAACGTGTCATGAGAAAGAGTGTCAGGTCTAGAGGTGTCATATGAGAGCGTCATATGCAAACGTGTCAGGTCTTAGAAAAAGTGTCATAAAAGAGCATGCTAGATGTGAAAGAAGTGTCATAAGAAAACGTGTCAAGTTAAGAAGTGTCACATGAGAGGCTATCAGGTGTAATACAAGTGTCATATGAGAATGTGTCAGGTCGAGAAGAAGTGCCATGTGTCATGATTTAGGTTAACGTAAGAATGGTTGATCGTCAGGTGAAATAAATTGGAGTGGTCTTAATCTTCAGGTGACCAGATCATCGTGTCTCATGGGAAGCTATATAAGGTAAAGTGTGTTATGGATTCCCTACAGTTCGTTTAACTTTACCTTGTGTGTAATGATCTTGGAGACAGGGTAGAGGCGTAGGGTCTCGGCTGACAAACTGACCTCTCCAACTCTCACTGTCCAGAAGGGTGGCGGCAACGCAAACTTGAAAATTGGGCTGGGAAGAGAGGGAGCCATAAATAATGTATGTATGTATGTATGTATGTATGTATAATGAAATAGTTGAAAAATAACCCCACAAATTATACTCCAAATAATTCTCCAGACAACACCAAGTGAATGAGAAGACACTACCAGGTACACGTTGGCTGCCACCCTATAATAATTGGTCACATCCGTCATGTAATCTTGAGTACATCCTGTGACATGTGGCGCTACTTCATGTACAGGGAAAACACAGAATATAAGAAATGTAATAAAACCTTTTCAACATCTTCCCTTGATGGTTGGGTTAGGTAAGGTTATTAATATTTGGGGTCGTGATAGTGTGTGTGTGTGTGTGTGAAGAGAATGGTAAAATACACGAATAACGTTACGGTAAATGAACAATACTGAGAATAAAAGAAAGTTGAAAATGTGACAAGTATGTATGTATGTATGTATGTATGTATGTATGTATGTACTTAGCATTCACCACACAAACACACACACACTCAGCATTAACCACACACTCCACCACACACACTCAGTATTAACCACACACTCCACCTCTCACACACTCAGCATTAACCACACACTCCACCTCTCACACACTCAGCATTAATCACACACTCCATCTACCACTCACCCCACCACACACTCAGCATTCACCACACATTCCATCACACACATTCAACATTAACCACACACTCCACCTCTCACACACTCAGCATTAACCACACACAGTCAGCATTAACATCACACACTCAGCATTAACCACTCACTCAACGATGCAGTGGGCGGCTGTCAGTATCCAGGACGGGTGGATCAGAGTCCCCCCGCAGTGCTGACCGAGTCGTCTGCCACTGTATGGGTCCTTCTGCTGTAGCGCTACCTGCCACGGCCACTCTCCCGCCAACACGCTCCTACCACCCACAATCCTCATGTAGTAGCGGTGGCTGTAGGCAGACACCCCGCAGTCTGTAGGATAAGGATGAGTTGTAGATGTGTGAAGGAGTCATATTCAAGTCAAGGATGAGGTACAGAAAATGGCTGTAGTCCTGTATTATGTGTAAACAGTCCGTTACAGAGAGCCTTGTAGTGTCCTGACCAAAATCACGTTGCTAAACCATACCATACCCAATATGTCTGTACCTAACCTAACCTAACCTAACCTAACCTAACCTAACCTAATCTATCTAAACCCGCATGAAAAATGTGTGGGAAATATTGCCAACAGATATCGTTAGCGCTCGGAAAGTTTACTGGAAAGTGCCAAGGTAAGTGAAAAAAACTCGGAAGTGTCAATGGAAATTACCGGAAATGTGCCAGAAGTGTGCCGGAAGTGTGTCAGTAATTACCGGAAGTACCAGATTCATGAACTAAGGTAATGACTAAAGACAGGTGGTGGTGAGGGACCCTGGCTCTTGTGGCCTTTCTGACGAGTGTGTAGCGGGCACGGAGGAGGAGGAGGAGGAGGAGGACGAGGACGAGGAGGAAGAAGAGAGAGGAGGAGGAGGAGGAGAGCGTTCATGGTAACACAGGTTTATCCAAGATTTACAAATGTTCTTCCGGAAATTATTTTTATCATAGATTTCTCCTGTGTGTGTGTGTGTGTGTGTGTGTGTGTGTGTGTTTGTGTGTATGTGTGTTTGGATGTGTAATGATAATAATAATAATAATATGAAGACGCATAAGAGTAACAAAAACAACAGCAACACGAAGAAGAAGAAGAAGAAGAAGAAGAAGAAGAAGAAGAAGAAGAAGAAGAAGAGTAAGAAGTAGAAGAAGAAGAAGAAGAAGAAGTAGAAGAAGAAGAAGAAGAAGAGTAAGAAGTAGAAGAAGAAGAAGTAGAAGAAGAAAAAGTAGAAGAAGAAGAAGAAGAAGAAATGTAAAAGTTTTCAACACACGTAAGATGACTCAGAGACTTTGTTTACAATGATGACGTCACAGGTTCTCGAGTCACATCTGTTTACCTCCGTGATGTCATGGTGCTATTACGGTTGTTTGTCCAGTGTTGGTTTACAATTGATACTTCTGTCACTATCACCCCCTTTAATCCAGTCACCACTACCACCATCATCATTGTATCCACCTCTACTGCTATCACCACACACACACATCAACAACCATCACCACACCTACCACCATTACAACTATAACCATCACTATCACCACAACTTTCACACGACTACCACCACCAACCACCATCATTACCACCACCACCACCCCCTCAAACAAGTGTTACCAGCTCCCAGTGGCCTTTCATCGTGTCCAGGAGCTAAGTAGTTCTCTGGTACACCCAGACACAGTGTCACTCTTGGTTTTGGTAACACGTTTCCGGAAGTGAGTGCAACGTGAGCGTATATTGTAGTGTAGGTGGGGGGGGAGGGGGAGGAGGAGGGGGATAGAAGGAGATAGAGAGGGGAAGAGAGGGGGTGGGAGGGGAGGGAGAAGGGGAGAGAATGTAGGGAGGGAGAGAGAGTGTAGGGAGACTGTCAATGAACAAAACAAAAACACACACGTGATTTCCCTCCATATGTAGTGAGGATGGTCAGGTTATCAAGGTCGATGACGTCATTTATCAACTCGACTCGTGTTGTAAAAAGTTTGGGGGGAAAAGTAACCATCCCTCTTGTCCTACTTGTCTATAGTCAATGCCACTTTCTCTTGAGGAGGGAGGGACGGACGGGAGGGACGGACGGACGGGAGGGACGGACGGGAGGGAGAGACGGGAGGGAGGGACGGGAGGTAGGGAGATGGAATTTCCGTGGTTTATGTTTCACCACAATTGACTTCTTTTTTTTTTTAACTATTTCAGGGGAAAGTTGGGTGGACTAAAATTTGGACCAATCATGTCTTGGATTCCGGAGTGGCGTCAGACGTGCTGGTGGTGATTATAAGTGGTGATGAGTGGTGGTGTGGTGATGAGTGGTGATGTGATGGTGAATGGTGGTGGTGGTGAGTGAGAAGTGGTGGTGGGTGGTGATAATTCCCCCAAAAAAACAACACTTCCGGTACAGGTAACATTATACAGGTAAAGGCAAAACATCACAGGTACACAAAACTAAACACATTAACATTAAACAAAACTATACACGGGAGGACAAGTTAACACTATTCACACACATCATCCTTATACACGTGAGGAAATAAAGACACACACACACACACACACACACACACACACACACACACACACACAAAATTAAAACGCTCTACCACCCCCATTGACTTACCAATGAAACTCTTCAAGGAGTTCTCCCCGGAGCTTGCTAAACCCCTATGCTCCATCATCAATGCTTCTCTCAGTCAAGCCAGATGCCCAGCTGGCTGGAAGACCTCTTATGTATCACCAGTGCCCAAGTCAACCAGCCCACAATCCTTAAATCAGCTACGACCTATTGCAATCACCCCAATACCCAGCCTAATCTGTGAAAGTTTTGTGTTCGACTGGGCTTATGCTGATATTGCAGGAGTCGTAGACCCTCAGCAATTTGGCGACATGAAAACTTCCTCCACCACTCACTGTCTTGTCAGCTTTCTCGATTACATATACCGCCATCTCGAGAAACGAAAAACGTCTGTAGCTGTCGCCTTCATTGATTTCACTAAAGCATTCGACCTAGTCGACCACAATATAATCATCAACAAAGCTATTGACCTCGGGCTTCGGAGAAGTCTTATACCATGGTTTACAGACTTCCTCAGTGACCAACGCCAAGCTGTACGCTTCCGAGGGGCTGTCTCCACCTTTCAGTCACTCACCTGTGGCGTCCCCCAAGGCACCAAGATGGGACCACTCTGCTTCCTTATGCTCATCAATGATGCCCTAAGAGAAACCCCTGCTCGCTGGAAATATGTCGACGACTCCACCGTTGGGATCAGCGTCAACAATTCTGCTCCCAACTATACCGCCCTTCAGGATTTATTGAACAGTCTCCAAAACTGGGCCACCAACAACCATGTCACCATCAACCATACCAAGACCATGGTTATGCACATCAACCTCTCCTCCGACATTGTCCCACCTCCTTCCATTACTCTAGGTCCGAACACACTCCAGGTTGTAGATTGCACGAAGCTCCTCGGCGTCACCAAAGACAACAAACTAAATTGGAAACCGCACGTCAGTGAAGTTGTCAAATCCTCCAGTTTCCGTCTCCACCTCCTCCGCTGACTCAAGTCCCTCGGAGTTCCTGCACCCGAGCTCCTCAGTCTTTACACAACATTCATACTTCCCAAGCTCACCTATGCCTCCCCCACCTGGTCTTCCTCCCTAAATGCCACACAACGTAAACACCTAGAAAAAGTGCAAAAGAGGGCATGCAAGATTATTCTCTCCCCTTCCTAATCCACATATCAAGAAGCGCTCAACACACTGACCCTTTCGACTCTCACTGACCATCACCACGACCTCATCTGCAAATTTGGTAAGAAGCTTCTACACCATCCTCGACACCGGCTCCTACTACCACCTGAGATCCCTAGTCCGAGAATTGCTGTTCGACACCACAACCGCATCCAGCCCATACGTGCACGAACTGATCGCTATAAGAACAGCCCAGTCCCAACCATTGTAAAAATTATCAATAACTTGTAATAAACCAGTGTATTCACTCCCAGTAAACACTACTCCTTGCACTGTCACTATGTTGAAATGAACTGTAGTTTGAGCTTTTCCCCATCTAGTTATTATATGTCTTATTTGTGTCACTTATGTTACTTGTATATTATTTGTAATTCGAAACCCATTCCTCAAATATGTAACTGTATATTTTCAGCCTTCTGGCTGCCAAGCTCTTTCAATAAACCGTTAATTATTATTATTATTATTATTATTATTATTATTATTATTATTATTACACACACACGCAAAAATATATACCTCACTCATAGCAATCTTCGTCATCTGTTACCCAATGTCCCTTGCTCGCTGTGGAGACCAACCCACCAACACTATCACAGCACTACACCGTATCAACCCACTACCAGTTTTTTTAGAATTTATGTATTGCGTACACGCACACACACACACTCAAACACACACACTCTCACACACACACTCGCATAACTCTCTCTGTTACATATGACCATTAAGTCGCCGGCAGCAACAACTTGATGGATCAGAATATGAAGAGAGAGAGAGAGAGAGAGAGAGAGAGAGAGAGAGAGAGAGAGAGAGAGAGAGAGAGAGAGAGAGAGAGAGAGAGAGAGAGAGAGAGAACCGAGGGGTGTGTGTGTTTTCTTTACCTGACTTCAGTACACATTAACCAGCTCACCTGGAGATTAAACACCCATTTTACTTCACCTAACCTAACCTAACCTAACCTAACCTAACCTAACCTAACCTAACCCCTTAGGTAGCGTTAGGGTGACCCAAAGTTTTCCATCTGTAACTGTGCCTGACCCGTAAAGCTATGGTGATTGACCCTCATGACCCCGTGACCTTGACCCCGTGACCTTGAGTGATCTTAACATTAACCATACCTGTCATATACAAGTGTTTATGAGTTAAGTGAGTGGATTGTTTTCAGTGATTGGTTGACCTCCGATTATACAGAGTTCAACCCCGATTGTATGAAGACAAACTGATAGATTTTCTGGTATGAGTGAACAGACAGACAGAGATAAACAACTGTCAATTCTAATATCTTTAACCAAAAAATTTATTAAGTCTAAACTGACAGACACATACAATGAAAACAACAACATCCAAAGACAGACAGACTGACAGACAGACAGAATAGAAAAATAGACAGACACAAATAGACTGGCAGACAAACATATAGACAGAAAAAACGGACAGACAGATACACAAAGGAAAAAAAAAGAAAGAAATAAACATACTGTACATACAGACGGACAGAAAAACAGAAAAAGATCTAAAGAAAAACACACTGATAGACAGAAAGAACAAACAAACAGACAGACAACGAACAGACAGACAGACAGACAGACAGATTAAAACAGTGGCTCAGTGGGTAAAGTTCACTTCCTTCCTGGGAACAAAATTACTCATTATATAGTTTTTATTCTTCTATTTTCACCAAACTGTATTTGTGGGTCTGTGGAATGTTGGCCATCAGTACAATGACCTGAGGGGAGGTAGAGGTGGTGGTGGTGGAGGAGGAGGTGGTGGTGGTGGTGGAGGAGGAGGAGGTGGTGGTGGTGGTGGAGGAGGAGGAGGAGGTGAGGTGGTGGTGGGTGGGGGAGGAGGAGGAGGAGGAGGAGGGAGGTGGTGGTGGGGGGTGGGAGGGAGGTGGTGGGTGGTGGAGGGAGGAGGGGAGGGAGGAGGAGGAGGAGGAGGAGGGAGGTGGAGGAGGAGGAGGAGGTGGAGGAGGAGGGGAGGTGGAGGAGGAGGGGTGGAGGAGGAGGAGGAGGAGGAGGTGGGAGAGGTGGTGGAGGGAGGAGGAGGGGTGGTGGTGGGAGGAGGAGGGAGGAGGGTGGAGGAGGATGGAGGAGAGGGGGAGGGTGGAGGAGGGAGGTGGAGGTGGTGGAGGAGGAGGAGGAGGTGGTGGAGGAGAGGGGAGGGGAGGGAGGAGAGGGGGGAGGGGAGAGAGGGAGGAGGTGGTGGAGGAGGGAGGGAGGGGAGGAGAGGGAGGGTGGAGGGAGGAGGGAGGTGGAGTGGTGGATGGGGAGGAGGAGGAGGTGGAGGAAGGAGGAGGAGGAGGAGGAGGAGGTGGTGGAGGAGGGAGGAGGAGGAGGAGGTGGGAGGAGGAGGAGGAGGAGGAGGGGAGGAGGGGAGGAGGAGGAGGAGGAGGTGTTGGGTGTGAGGAGAGGTGGTGGTGGTGGTGGAGGGAGGAGGGAGTGGGGGAGGTGGGAGGAGGAGGAGGAGGAGGAGGAGGGAGGAGGAGGAGGAGAGGAGGAGGAGGAGGAGGGAGGGAGGTGGTGGGTGGGGAAAAGGGTGGTGGTGGTGGGAGGTGGTGGTGGGAGGAGGAAATGGTGGTGTGGTGGTGGTGGTGTTGGTGGAGCAGGTGGGGATGGTGGTGGTGGTGAAGAAGGGAGGAGGAGGAGGAGGGAGGAGGGAGGAGGGAGGAGGAGGAGGAGAGGAGGGGAGGGAGGAGGAGGGAGGTGGTGGGTGGTGAGGAGGAGGTGGTGGTGGTGGTGGGTGGTGGTGGTGGTGGGGAGGTGGTGGGTGGAGGAGGTGGAGGTGGTGGTGAGGGGTGGTGGTGGTGGAGGTGGGTGGGTGGTGGTGGTGTAGGAGAATTTGGTGGAGAGGTGGTGGAGGATGGTGGTAGAGTAATTTGGTGGAGAGAGGTGGTGGGATGGCAGAGTACGAGAGAGAGAGAGAGAGAGAGAGAGAGAGGTAGGAGAGAGAGAGAGAGAGAGAGAGAGGTTGGGGGGTGATCAGCACCTCACCTACAAGATACTGATGCCAGGGTTCACACCTTTCAGTACTTCAGTAAATTTAGTCAGTTAGGTCATGACGCTCTCAGTATAGGAGATGTAAACAGGGAAACCAGATACCAGATGAACAACGATGCCATAGAGAAATCCGACTGCGAGAGAGATTTAGGAGTAATGATAAGTAGGAACCTTAAGCAAAGTAAACAATGTGTTTCTGCTCGTAACAAGGCTAATAAAGTACTTGGGTTCATACAAAGGAGTGTTAGTTACAAGACTAGCGAGGTCATCCTAAAACTGTATCTTGCTCTTGTGAGACCACACCTGGATTACGCAGTTCAGTTCTGGTCACCGTATTACAGAATGGATATAGAATCCTTGGAAAGAATTCAGAGGAGAATGACAAGACTAATCCCGGGCATTAGGAACCTTGAGTATAGAGACAGGTTAAAGCATCTTAATTTGCACTCCCTCAAGAGACGTAGAGCGAGGGGCGACCTGATAGAGGTGTATAAGTGGAAGTCAGGGCTAAATAAAGGGGACATTACAAAGGTACTCAAACTATCCAACCAGGAGCGAACTCGTAACAATGGTTTTAAATTAGACAAATTTAGATTTAGGCGTGAAATAGGTAAACACTGGTTTGGAAACAGAGTAGTGGATGAATGGAACAAGTTACCAAATATCATCATTAACTCGAATACGCTGAATAGCTTCAAACATAGGTTGGATGCTTATATGAGCAATAGGGGTTGGGTGTAAACGGGACTGCCCAGTATGGGCCAATAGGCCCGCTGCAGTTTCCTCCATTCTTATGTTCTTATGTTCTTATGGTCAGGCCTCATTAACGGATGAGTCAGGTAAAAAGGTACAACATAACAGGTAGTTTTTCTTGTAATTCTAAAAATTTTTAATTAAACATCTTGAAATTCCAGGATTAGTATTTCTATTAAATCCTGACAGACTTCTTGACCACGCAGTTGAAAAGGAAAGTTCACAAACACGACAGAAATAGCTTTTTGTAAACATTAAAAAGTAACATTAGTTTCTGGACACACACACACACACACCTACATACAAGAGGTTACTCACAGGAGCGGTGGTTGAAGGTAGCGTGGACTCTAGTGACGGCGGCGCAGCAGAGAACGACCAACACAGCAGTGGTCCTCAGCACTCTATCTTGAGGCACCCCGACCTGCCGCCACCACTTCCCTCCCTCCGCGCGGCTCTTGCCTTCTGACGGGGAGGTACTCATCCTTCCCAGGTTTTCCCCACATAGTCTCTGATCACCACACCTTGATCTGAGTCACTATAGGTTAATAGGTGTTTATTCTACGTTGGTTTTGAAGCACTGAAGATTCGTCAGAGTAGATCATTACGACTAACTTAATCACCACTTCTAACTTATCATTTTCTAAGTCGCTGTCAAACTTAAGAGTCATAAAGTCTCTATCTGAGGTCATTATATGTAGGTGACCCCAGCTAGTAGCAGACAAATTCAATTACGACAGTAATACCTGGTTAGAGAAATCCGCCACAGGTTAACACAGGTGACCACGAGGTTAGTTCACAAAGGTGGCCTCAGGCAGCGCTGCACAGATCAGGTGATCATCCACCGGTCTATTACCGTTTTGATTTCACTCATAATCAGTCTTAAGATAATTATTTTGTTTAAGTTCTAAATAGTTTATCTGTTTCTCTAAAAGTTTCAAAGATTCCCCACTGAAAAAAATTTATATACATATATATATATATATATATATATATATATATATATATATATATATATATATATATATATATATATACAGGTATATATATATATATATATATATATACTGTATATAGCATTTACTTTGCAACGTCGTCAACTTTATCGTCCGGCGCATCACCTTCTACGTCTTCACCTTACTAGACCTCAGATGAAAATTCACTGGTCATGGTAGACAAAGACCCAGTCACCGCACGCCAGACCCTCAAACACGTGGATTTTACCGAATTACTTCTTCGTGGACTGGGCGACGCTCAGCTGTTTGGGAGGCGACAGCAGCTGCCGTCTCACCGTCGCTGTTCGCTCACATAATGTTGGTATTACATAACATTTGTTGACAAACACTGTAAGTGTAGCGAGAACACACGATGAATGTTTAATTATTAACACGGTGTTTACTGTTAGTGACAGTCATCATGTTAAGGTGTCGCACTTAACAATGTTGTCATATTACAGAACTCAAAAATCTTTACATAACTTAATTATAAGATAACTTAACATACACAGGAATGAATAAGTGAGAGAGAGAACATAACTCCTCGTCGTCTATATTACAGGTGAGTCATACTTGTCCTTTAATTATTGTTACCTGTAGAGGCCAGACACAGTAGGCAGAGATCAGCACCATCATTTTCTCTCAGCCGGATATAAGAGACAGCTTTTCACGAGGTCGCTTAAGTTGCAGCAGTACAGAAGACAAGGTACAGTAGAGTAGAGTAGAGTAGAGTACAGTACAGTACAGTGCAGTACAGTAGCAGGATCAATATATCACGTCGTCTTGTACACAGAGGAAGAAACTACCCTTACAGATCAGTGTAACGTAGTGCACAGTATATGAGCCTCATGCCTCTGCCGCCTCGTGAGGGGCAGCGTGGATATAATACACGCCTACACGGCATACTTAACCTGAGGTGTACAATGAGGCAGTGTGACCGGCACTGCACTCAACCGCCTTTACTTCCCTAACTGTAAAGTCAGGTATGCAACCAGCTACCTTTAAGACACCAGACGAGCCCTGTAGCTACTCGGCCACCGCCCCCCTCAGTCACTAACCAGGTGGATGAGAGAGAGAGAGAGAGAGAGAGAGAGAGAGTTAAGATGAGGTGATGAGAGGGGAGGGATGTTAGTTCAGGGGGAGTGAGAGGAGTAGGAAGAAGAGAGGGGGTGAAGAAGAAGGAAGTTAAGAGAGGGAGTAGGGAGTGGGGAGAGGAGTGGGAGAAGAGGGAGGGGGATTCACCACCACTCGAGTATGTGGGCCAGTTTTTACACTCACTACAACACCCAGAAAACCTCCACTTTCAATCTACAAAAAAGATAAAGCAAGCAAACAAGTACAGGTAACGTGACCACAATGCTTACTTAAATTATTTACTTTTAAACTGATAAGTAATTTCTCACTTGCACCTAATAGGAAGAGAAACGACTTACTACCAAATGGCAATTCTGTTCCCCGAAGCAAATTGGTGAAGAAGGATCTGCCATTTGTATATATGTATGTATGTATGTATGTATGTATGTATGTATGTATGTATTATAGTAGGTAGTAGGCAGCTATCAAACAGGGAGGTACTACCGCCTGGGAAGATATTGGAAGCATAATGTGTTGTCTAATGGTAGACCCTGCTGCCATATGGCATCACAAAATTTGTGACTAAGTCCCAGGTTGCTGATCTGACTTTCTGCCTCATTTACACACAATTGCAGAATCTCAATTGTTTCTATTACTATTGACAAAACAACACAACATACATTCTGTATATCATTTCTCAGTCTTGATTTATTTTTTCCGTTTTTGTATTTATTTATGGTTATTATTATTATTATTATTATTATTATTGTTATCTATTTTTATTAATTATCATTATTATTATTATTATTATTATTATTATTATTATTATTATTATTATTATTATTATTATTATTATTATTATTATTATATTTTCGCCCCCCAGGACCTTATGTGGGTCAGTGACCTGTGCTCGGGTGGGCTAATCTCCGTAAAAAAAAAGAATGTATGTATGGATGTATTATCTATCATTTTATTTACCCTTCCATCCATGCTTCCATGTTTATATTTATTAATCTATCTAAGGAAGAAGAAGAAGAAGAAGAAGAAGAAGAAATTTATGATACAACTGGCGCATCATTAGGACACAAGACATCTTAGTTTCCCTCCATTGAAAGTCGATGTATATTAGTGTAAGTAAATCCACAAACACCACCACTCACTCTGTCTCCTGTTAACTGTGTTGAGACATGAGTGGCAAACAACAAACAGACAGACAGACAGACTATTACTGCATATATCCGCATTAACTTCATGGAGCGGGGAATAATAAACCAACTAAAGTTATTCAATATATTCAGTTATCTGTAAAAACCTTAACTGCCAATTATGAATATTCGACAGGTAATTAGATCTATAAATGGGATATTATACTCAGTCACTAACCAGGTGTTTGTTAGCGGTGACACCTGCTGGGCGTCACCTGCAGCGTCACACTGACTCACTCACACCTGTCTTATACTCAACATACAGTGTACACTACACCATCTGTGAGGGAATTACTACACCACGTGATGCCCCTCATAACACCATCTGTGAGGGAATTACTACACCACGTGATGCCCCTCATAACACCATCTGTGAGGGAATTACTACACCACGTGATGCCCTCAGCACCATCTGTGAGGGAATTACTACACCACGTGATGCCCTCATAACACCATCTGTGAGGGGAATTACTACCACGTGAGGCCCTCACACCATCTGTGAGGGAGTCTGTGAGGGAGTTACTACACCACGTGAGGCCCCTCATAACACCATCTGTGAGGAGTTACTACACCACGTGAGGTCCCTCATAACACCATCTGTGAGGGAGTTACTACACCACTGAGGTCCCTCATAACACCACCTGCGAGGGAATTACTACACCACGTGAGGCCCCTCATAACACCATCTGTGAGGTGGTTACTACACCACATGAGGTCCCTCATAACACCATCTGAGAGGAGATACTACACCACGTGAGGTCCCTCATAACACCATCTGTGAGGAATTACTACACCACGTGAGGCCCCTCATAACACCATCTGTGAGGAGTTACTACACCACGTGATGCCTACTTACCATCTGTGAGGGAGTTGCTACACCACGTGATGCCCCTCATAACACCATCTGTGAGGGAGTTACTACACCACGTGAGGCCCCTCATAACACCATCTGTGAGGTAATTACTACACCACGTGAGGTCCCTCATAACACCATCTGTGAGGTAATTGCTACACCACGTGAGTTCCCTCATAACACCATCTGTGAGGGAATTACTACACCACGTGAGGCCCCTCATAACACCATCTGCGAGAGAATTACTACACCACGCCAGGTCCCTCATAACAAAATCTGAGGGAACTACTACACCACGTGAGGTCCCTCATAACACCATCTGTGAGGTAATTACTACACCACGTGAGGTCCCTCATAACACCATCTGTGAGGTAATTGCTACACCACGTGAGGTCCCTCATAACACCATCTGTGAGGGAACTACTACACCACGTGAGGCCCCTCATAACACCATCTGCGAGGGAATTACTACACCACGCCAGGTCCATCATAACACCATCTGAGGGAACTACTATACCACGTGAGTTCCTCCTAACACCATCCGGGAGGGAGTTACTACACTACGAGTTTGCTGTTCAACACCTACATTAATCTGTATGTTCACAGTATGTTCCTTTACCTTTCTCTAATGAAGGCTTTTGTTAAACCACCAATATATGTAATAAGACATTTATGTCCAATGTATATTTTCAGCCTTCGAGCTGCAGAATTTTTTCAATAAACCGTTAATTATTATTATTATTATTATTACATGGAAGAGAAAATAACAATTCTTATTTCAATGTTTTGCCCGTTTATGTTAACAGAGGGAGAGGGAGAGAGATAGATAGAGAGAGAGAGAGAGAGAGAGAGAGAGAGAGAGAGAGAGAGAGAGAGAGAGAGAGAGAGAGAGAGAGAGAGAGAGAGAGAGAGAGAGAGAGAGAGAGAGAGAGAGAGAGGTTGATTGTTCATACAGTAATTGGTAAAATTTATTATATGCCTCTTAAGACCACCTCCCTTACTATCACAACAAGCAAACCATACCTAGGTTCGGTTAGGTTAGGTTAGGTTCGGTTAGGTTAAGTAGTACTGATGGTGCTTATTTACAGTGTGTATTATGGCTATCAGTAAGATCATCTAGTATAGTGACCAGTTCCAAAAGTCGAAAAATAAGAAATATATTGAAATTATCGCCATGTTACAGTGACCAGAGTAACGTACACACACACACACACATGTCCTCCTTTCAATCACTCTCACTGTATTTTCTTGTGTTTGTGTTTCTCCTGCAACGACGAAGCTCTCAGTGTCACTCTTATTTACCGCTGTCACTTCACATTAGTCTTCCTCGCCACCTCCCATTAGCTCCTCAGTCTCAAGTACCACTCAACCTTCTTTGTTTACACTTCCACTGCGTAGACGTCATTTATATCCACTTCCCGTATTTAATCTCCATTCAAGGTACTTACATACGTTTCACATTGTTGTTGTTTTTTAATTTAATTTTTGTTCGCATATTTCTAAATTTTTCTTCCAAGTTTCATCTGAACATTACTCCTGAACTCACCTCTAAATTTGTCTACTGTTTTTTTTTATTTAGCAAATATACACCCGACTCCAACATACACCCACCTCCATCGTACACCCACCTCCATCATACACCCACCTCCATCATACACCCACCTCCATCATACACCCGCCTCCATCATACACCCACCTCCATCACACACCCGCCTCCATCATATACCCGCCTCCATCATACCACCTACCCATCATACACCCACCTCCATCATACACCTACCTCCATCATACATCCACCTCCATCATACACCCACCTCCAT